TGGTTCAAAGTTGCTGAGAGTAATTTCACCAACAAATCACAACGCACAGGTTGTTATGGTCCTTGAAAAAAGTTTTTTCTTATTTCTTTTTTTAATTTTCATCGTTTTCATAAATCTTATTAAACAACACCATTGAAGAGTGAAGACGACAGAGAACTCAAATTTCCGTCCCCAGCTACAAAAGCGTTATCTGAGAATGGAAATAAAGGAAAATTGAAATTCATCTTACATTTCCAGTAGTATACATGTAAAAAAATATTTAAGTGGAGGACGATTTCTCTCAACTTTCCAACAACATGCAGAACTATAGAGGCTCCGACAAAGAAAAAAAAAAGAAAGAAAGGAAAAACAAAATCATTTTGTGAGAGGAAACAAAAATCATTACAGTAAGTTCTGGGCATTATCATTGACATTTTGAAGAATCTTGCCGCCATTTACAAGAGAGGAAAAGGGTAATAGACTTATTAGTTTTCTTAATAAGGTATTGCCTATGTGTAATTAGGATTTTCTTCTCCAAACTCAGTTCAATAGGATGTCAAGGACAAGGACACGTGGTCAGCTTTGGTGATTGGGAAGACACCCGCTCCGGACACGAATACCGGACCAGAAAACCCGCTCCGTGCGAGCTTACTTTTACAATTTTTATTTTTGCTTCAGCCAAGTCCTTCCAGCTTCCAGCCGTTTGGCTAAGCATAAAGCTGTGCTTAATGGCTGGTAAATGAGCATAATGGAGGCTTAATGGTGATCAATGGAGGTAAACCATTTTGCCATGTTAATAAGCTAAATACCATCAGTTTCATTCATAAAGGTCCGAACCTTGGTGTACAAAGGTGGCCGGATTCATCTTGAGGGAAATGAATGGTTTCTTGGCTGTAATAATGTAAGATTAAGCCCCATAATTGCTTGATTCTGAAACTTTTTTCTCAAGACCCTATATAAAGGGTTCTCCCCATGAAGGAAAGACACATCTTTCAGAAATCTCTCCCCCTCTCTCAGATTCTCTCTTGCTTCCAAAGTTGTGTGTTTTATTTGTCTTGTTTTGTTCCGTTTTGGTGGTAGAGGAAAGATCTAATTCTAGTTCGCCGGACGGTTCTAAAAGTGCATCGAACTACCGTCGTTGTCGTTGTATCCTGGGAGACGGACATCCAACGTAACCTCAAGCACACGCCGGAGGGGACGAATCTGTTTTAAGAAAAACGTGGTCCACGTGCCTCGACTTTTTCCAATTCCATTTTCAAGTTTGGAAGGAAGGTTGAATTAATTTGCATTGTATAATTTCGGTTTTTCATTTCCCTATATTTTGATCTTCTTTGTACTATCCAATTTCGACTAACAGACCCGTCATATCTGCTTTTAGAAATATACAATTTATTAACTAATTTGACCATAAAAAGTATGAAAGAAACAAACTGTAATTAAAGATATAATTGATCACAATTAAAGGGGTTATTCCAATGAGAAAGTTTAGATTGTAGGTCTAACAAATTTATGAGAGAGAGTGGTAAAATTCAAATGGGGAGAAAGTGAAAGATGAATAGAAAGGGAAAATGTAGAAGAATATTGATGGTAAGAGACTATGGTAGACACATGGAGCTAAAAAGAAAGAGAGAGACAAAAAAAAAAAAAGGCAAAGCATTATATAAAGTATCATTTGTAAAATAAAATGGTAGACATATAGAGTTAAAAAAAAAAGGAAAAAGAAGATAAACCACGAAATGATGGAGTTAAAAAGAAAGAAAGAATATTCAAGTGGTCTTTTTTTTTTTTATTATTCAAGTGGTTTTAAGGGGTAAGAGAAAAGACAAAATTTATGATAGAAATTGTTTTTTTATCCTATCAATAAGCACTGCTATTTTAACTGGATTAAAATTTCAAGTTTCAACAAATGAAAGCAGTTATGCTCACATGCTTTAAATTTTTAATGTGTACACTCATAGATTATACCGTTAAAAAGTTAATTCAACAGTTAAAATAATATGACTTACTGACAGGAAAAATACTTGTCCCTATGATAAATGTTGCAGAGAAAATATAGTAGACAAATGGAGAAAGAAAAGTAAAGAGAAAAAAGGGAAAAAAGTTAAAACAAATAGTTAAAAAGAAAAAAAAAAGGAAAAAAGAAAGAGGCAAGCTGCTAGCACCATAACGGTGCATTTGTGACTACCAAAATTAACAGAGACTATTATTTACTCGTTTACATATAATAGTTTAAAACACGTGATTTGCGCATGGGTATTTAGTTTGTTCACCTCTAAAAATATATGATTTTACAAAAATAGATGTACCAAAATACATATTTCTATCAACACGTGTGTTTCAATCGAATATTACATAAACATAAAATTAAATATGCGTACCATTTTAAACTAAGAATGGATTTCGGTTAAGATAGGTCAAATAGAAAATTAATCATGATGTACATATAAGAAAAAAAATGTTTTGAGAGGGCTACAATAAAAAGACGTTTAAGTAAAACAAATATTTTATAGCAGCTAATTTTTTAAAAAATAAAATAAAATGTAACAAAAATAATCATGAGAACAAGGAAAAAATTATTTCAATGTAACGATTAAAAAAATGTATTTATGATACTTCTCAAGAACATATTTTAGAGGATTACAAAAAAAAAAAAATAATTAAGTAGATATAAACATGAAACAAATTATTCCCTTGTAAAAAAATTAGACTATAAATTTTAAATGTAAAATATTTGAGATAACTGCAAAATAAAAAAGCAAATAAAAGTAAAAAACAAAAGAAGCAAAAACAATCACTAAAAAGTAAAACAAAAATAACTTGACCATGACTTTGAATAGTGCATCGTGAGAGAAGCTACATGAAGTTCAATATGCTTTCTTTCTATGTTATAGAGATATAGATTAGGATGAGGATATATATATATATATATATATATTGTCACGTTCTTACTTTAAAAGAAACATTTAGGTCGTCTGTTCTCATCTTAAAAATAAGACATATTGCAGAAAAAGCGCAGAATAAAAATACAAACTGTATCCTAATATTTCTCATGATTTTCAATGTTCAATATATTATAATTTCTCTTCCTAATTTAAGTCAAATTATCTATCGTGCATGTATTAAAGCTCTCTACGTGATATAAAGACATAATATTGACACAGAAAAAACAGTTGTTAAGCGGTGTATATATTTTAGTACTAATCACAATGTTAGTACTTCCATTCATTCCCACGGGAATGAAACCTCACCGCTCCCGCCAAATGAGTCCCATGGAACTCAAACATCACTGTATTTCGGTGAAAAGCCTACTCCATTGACCAATAAAAACAGTCCTTGTTCGAAACTCTCTTTAGTTTTTGGTACCAAATAAATAGAAGATAAAATTAATCCGAGTTTTTTTTTTTTTTCTTTTTTTGCAATAATCCTGGCTTTCAATCTCTCTCTCTCTCTCTCTACATATATACATATATATATATATATATGTGTGTGTGTACTGTCAAATATTCTAAATAAAGATTCAACCTTGGACATGAATAGAGTTAGGCTAAAAGTACTTGAAATCTTAAAAAATAAATAAATAAATATATAAATAAATAAAATTCTAATGAAATACCCAACCTAAAACAGTACTAGAGGACCTCCATCATGTTTGACCAATCAAAGGGGTATGTTGCCTTGATTTTTCAAAACTTATCAAGAGCTAATTGACGTAAAATTTGTACAGAAGGTACCAAATGCAATTCTTGACATCTATTTTTCACTTGTTTTGTTAAGGGAATCCGGCTCATTATCAGCAACAAAAGTACTATATAGGTTTTGTTTTCCTATGAATTAAACGGTAGAATATGCTTGTGCAGTTTTATATTTTATGTTGGATTAATTTTGCTTGTCTTCCTAAATTAAAGTATGAGGACCTAATATCTTACTTGGCCTTCGAATTTGTTTTGATTTGTATCAGTTCATGGGTCTTAAATGTTACAAAATATTTCAACCACACCCTCCACCTGTTTCTCTCTCCAAGTAAAGCTAATGTTACAAATTTCAAAAGTTCAATAACAAACCCTAGTTCTAGGAGGATTGATGAAACTGTGTTGGTTTATAAAAGAAAAACCATATTGCCAAACTGCTGGCGCGTAATTAGGAAGAAAGTCAAAGTTGCCGCTTAAGTTGACTCTCAGATTCCTAATGAGGATATATTGATATATATATATATATATATATATATATTTAAAGGAAGTATATACATTGATATTTGTTTCATCAAAAAAGTATATATCGATATTTAAGTGCTAACAGAATATATTTTCATGTCCTGACACCTGTGTTTTTGTTATACAAACTGAAACTATTCGAGAATGGGATTACAACAGCTTAGAGCCAGCAGCCCCCCGGCCCGATGTATGGCCCCAGTATATATTTTTATAACTATATAGTTTTTCCCACCCTTTTCTAATTTAGCCCCAGTAAATTTATATAGATTAAATATAGCCCTTTAAATCAAGTTTACCGCATTATATATTTTTAAAAATTTATAATTTTCTCCCTAGTTTTCTTAATTTCTTGCCTTATTTTATGTAACTTCAAATTTTATGCAAAATTTTTAAAAAATTTTATTAGCACTCTTAGTTTTTACTTCTAATTACACCTTATTATTTCTTTTTCTTTCTTTTTCAAATATGTAGTACCCAATTAAAGAAAAATATCATATATAATAATACTAAAATTAATAATTAAAGAAACAAACAAATATTAAAAAGAAATATGAGATTTTCAATATTTATTACCCTATGAATTTAGTTTTAATTTTTTTATTAACTGAGGCCTCCTTAACAAGTTTTATGGTAATGTCCCTGATAACAAGTCAATATGTACTCCACAAGTTCCAGGAAAAATAAATAAATAAATAAATACACACATACACGCGCTAATTACAGCAAACAGCTAGCCTTACGCGTAAATTATTACTATAAAAAGAAACCACTTCGCGTTCTTACTTTTACTCCCTCTTTTTTCCTCAATTTTTTGTCATCCTCAGGCTCAAAGTGTATAGAACATTCTCTGCATATATGTGTGTGTGTGTGTGTGTATAGTTGACTTGACGTGCCGAATCTGGTCCTGATAATAGTAAAATGCAATACAGCTAGACTTGATCATTCCTATAAATAACACATGAAACCTAATAGAACCTCAACCAATTGGCACTCATAAGGCATAACCTTAGCTCAAACCTGCTTCTCCGTATCTTTCTTCTCTATTATACGCCTTAGAGATGGCTTTCTTCTATTATTTCTTGTGGTCATCTAGCAACTTAAGAACCTTCTTGTTCTTGTTTTCGCTTCTTACCGCAGTCGCCTCCGCCCAACTATCCTCAAATTTCTATAGTTCTTCATGTCCTAATGCCCTTTCCATCGTCAAGTCGGCAGTAAAGACTGCCGTTTCTAACGAGGCTCGTATGGGAGCGTCCTTGCTTCGTCTTCATTTTCATGACTGCTTTGTTAATGCAAGTCGTTTCCTCCCTAGCTTCTTTTATTTATATATTTTTTTCATGTCCTTGCTGATTTGTGTTATTTATTTAGTACTAATTAATAATATCTAGACGTCTAAGATTAGATTAACTATATATATATTTATTTAATGAACTAAAGAGAGTGATCAAATTACTTAAAGTATATGAAAGATTATTGAGGAATGGTAACTACTAAATTAAATTACTGAATTTCTTGTTTTTACTTTTGAATCTATCAAGAGTACACAATATGAGAACATAAAACCTCACGACGTAAAAACTTACTAATTTCCGTTGAATATTTCATTGGTGTCTGCAAACTATTCAAATAAAATAAAATATCAAGCTTATAATAAAAAAGTTCGAGAACAGGGCAGTTGGTGGAAAACTAACTTTATCTTTACGTACTTCTTACACAAAATTATTGGTTGCCTTGGATATAACTTTTTGACTTATGGGACGAATCTGCGCATGCATGAAAAATAAGACACGGTCCTTTCAGAAAATGCCAAATAGTATTGATGGACATCAATATCATGGCCATACTATTTTTTGTATCCCAAAATAATTGTCAACATATAAAGAACACTTGATTGGGGAAATTTTCATAAACTAGTTTGACTAACAATATCAATTATACGTTAATTTGGTGACTAATTGCGTACAACAGGGATGTGATGCTTCGATACTGTTGGACGACACATCAACTTTCACAGGAGAGAAAAACGCAGGACCTAATGCAAATTCAGTGAGGGGATTTGATGTTGTCGACACCATCAAGACGCAGTTAGAGAGCGCCTGCGCCGGTGTTGTGTCTTGTGCTGACATCTTGGCCGTTGCTGCTAGGGACTCTGTTGTTCTGGTGAGTAAAACTGAAACTCCTAACCTTCCTTTATAATTTTGAGACTGATGATAAAACACCATCATTTATGAAAATAGAAAGTCGGACTCAAACATTAGAAAAATGTTTCAAAAACAAATGGTCCTAAACACCAAAATAAATAAAGAGTAGATCTTGTATTGTGAGACTCACTTTTATTAATGTGTGGTTCTGAATATTATTGTGCCTTAAACATTATTATGAGACATAAACAGGACACCTTTTAAATTTCTAAAGGTTGGACTAATTTTTATTATAATTTGTGGTTGAGTCAGAAATAGTTTTTAGTTAGGACATATAAAATAAAAGTTTCATAGAATTTTTTATTAAAAAGAAACATAATTATAGCAAAGTGGGGGTGTGTGTCGCACTTTAAAAATGTGGCTTTGCCACTTGCTAATTCTCAAGATTACGTAAAACGACACGTGATCATTCAAATATGTTATATTGTTGACGCATTTGTTTACAATATTTTGATCATTATATCAAAGTGGTGCTAAGCACTATGGTATTATATTTGGCCTTCCTTTTTTACCTTCTAATACGTAATTTTGTCTCGTTGATCAATAATATCTCAAGGTCATATTTTTGGATTTTACTTTTACTTTTCAGTTGGGTGGACCCAGCTGGACTGTGCAATTGGGCAGAAGAGACGCAACCACTGCAAGTCAAAGTGCTGCCGGTTCCAACATCCCAGCTCCAACGACGAATCTTAGCGGCCTCATTACTGCTTTCTCAAACAAAGGTTTCACTACTAAAGAATTGGTGGCTCTCTCAGGTTTGTGGAATTTAACGACATAAATTAAAGGAAAAAAGAAGAAGAATAAATTATGCCCCTTTTTAAACTGGCAATTAACAAATATATTTTTCTCCAAACTCAATTTAAGACGATTGATATAATTGAATAATACTAGCGATCTCCACTGATGGGACGACCTAAACTCCTATTGGGTAGTTTTATTGACTCAAAGTGTGACACCAAGAATTTCTTTTCAGGTGGTCACACAATAGGCCAAGCAAAGTGCTCGAGTTTCCGTGCCCGGCTTTACAATGAAAACAACATAGAGGCCTCCTTTGCGACATCAACCAAATCAAAGTGCCCGAACTCTGGCAGCGACAACAACCTCTCACCGCTCGACGTGACAAGCCCAACGACTTTCGACAACGCATACTTCAAGAACGTAGTGAGCCTAAAGGGGCTGCTTCACTCCGACCAACAGCTCTTCAACAACGGCTCCACGGACTCTCAGGTCAGAGCTTACAGCACCAATCCAACAAGCTTCAGAACCGATTTTGCCAACGCAATGATCAAGATGGGAAATCTCAGTCCTCTCACTGGGACAAGTGGTCAGATTAGGACCAATTGTAGGAAGGTCAATTGATCATGTAAAAGAACATCGTTTTGGTGTTTGGAGTGTGTACTACTTTCGAGTTTGGTTTTGGTTACTTTGTGGCATTGGCAAGTTGTAAGAATAAGAGTTTTAAGTTTTAGTTTCCTCTTTAAGCTTTTAATTGGATAAACAGGCTTTTGTCGTTAATTATTCTAGGCTTGATTTGTGCTTTGTCTTGCAATGATATGTAAACTGTCGCGTTGTTTCCCATAATTAGCAATTCGATAGTTGAACATGTGCATCTCAAATTTTCTCTCCCATTTCAAAATATATATATATATATATATAAATATTTATCAAAAGTTTCTATTGAAGGGAGCAAACAATATATATGACACTTCTGTGTAATCTAACCAAGAAATTACACGTCCTATGTTTTGAGTTGTTGGTTTTGTTTAACTTGCTATAGTATGCGGTTAGTTGCTGGTACGATTAAATTGATCGTCTCATTTACACCACTAGTGAGATGGATGGGATTATATAGGCCTTTGCATATTTGAGTTTTAAATTTGAGTTAATATTTGATTTTATTTAAGAGCTTTTCACTATAACAGAAAAAGTTAGATGTGACTTTTTAAGAGAATTTTTAACTTTAATAAAATTGAAATTAAAAACTCGAATTGAAGAAATGAACGGGACCATAGTGTCTTCGAATGATGTACCGCATATGATGCGACCTTAGTTAAATTAAGGGCAAGACAGCCGGGCCTTGAAGAAGAAGTTCATACGTACGCTGAAATTCATAGCATTGCTCGAACAATAAAAAAGGTGGCAAAACAGATACAAGAACACGAAACATGGCAATATCAATCTTCTAACATGATGAGGGTAACAACAAACAAATCGACTATGCACAACTGACAGCAACATATACAATATTAGTCCTGCTGACCTTTAAATTCATCTACTATTATAACCTGAAAGACATATCAACAAAAGTAGCATTCATATATGGAATCCCAAAACAACAATTCAATAAAGAAGAAAGTACAAAAGGGATATTTCTTCTGGTCACTGGCTTTTCTTTCAACACTTTGTTAATTTAAAATCTACTACCTGTTAAGCAAATTATGAAATACAAAAATGAACAGATTACTGAAAATAATAGAATTATATTAATATGAAAATTGCAGAAATTGAGATTACAAACGAAACTAAGATGCAACGACGATATTAAAAATACAATAATAATAATGAATGAAACAATAGAAATAAATCAAATGTTTAAACTAAAAAAACACCAAGGCTTATGTGTCATACAGTTTTCTTAAATCATATTCGCCCCCTTCACCGTAGGTGCATGAGGATAGGTAGGCATCTACCTCCAAGATACAACGGTTTACTGTAGCAAAGCCCCACAACAATGCTACCCTAGAAAACTGAAAACTTGCCAGAACTCCTCTGCCCTTCATTCATTCCCGAACTCCTCGAGTTCATTTATTCATTCATTCATTCATTCCCGAACTCTCGAGTTTGATACTGGAACCCTATGGAAAAAACAAGCCAAAGATGTCAAATCTGTCAAATAAATCTAACAGAAAAAACAAGTCAAACTGATCATCCATCCATTCATTCATTCATTCCCGAACTCTCACGTTTCATTCATTTATTCATTCATTCCTGAACTCTCGAGTTTGATACTGGAGCCCTGTGGAAAAAACAAGCCAAAGATGTCAAGTCTGTCATTCATTTATTCATTCATTCCCGAACTCTTGAGTTTGATACTGGAACCCTGTAGAAAAAACAAGCCAAAGATGTCAAGTCTGTCATTCATTTATTCATTCATTCCCGAACTCTTGAGTTTGATACTGGAACCCTGTAGAAAAAACAAGCCAAAGATGTCAAGTCTGTCATTCATTTATTCATTCATTCCCGAACTCTTGAGTTTGATACTGGAACCCTGTAGAAAAAACAAGCCAAAGATGTCAAGTCTGTCATTCATTTATTCATTCATTCCCGAACTCTTGAGTTTGATACTGGAACCCTGTAGAAAAAACAAGCCAAAGATGTCAAGTCTGTCATTCATTTATTCATTCATTCCCGAACTCTTGAGTTTGATACTGGAACCCTGTAGAAAAAACAAGCCAAAGATGTCAAGTCTGTCATTCATTTATTCATTCATTCCCGAACTCTTGAGTTTGATACTGGAACCCTGTAGAAAAAACAAGCCAAAGATGTCAAATCTGTCAAATAAATCTAACAGAAAAAACAAGTCAAACTGCTCATCCATCCATTCATTCATTCATTCATTCCCGAACTCTCGAGTTTCATTCATTTATACATTCATTCCCGAACTCTCGAGTTTGATACAGGAGCCATGTGGAAAAAACAAGCCAAAGATGTCAAGTCTGTCAAATAAATCTAACAGAAAAAACAACCCACACTGATCATTCATTCATTCATTCATTCATTTCATTCATTCATTCATTCATTCATTTCATTCACTCATTTATTCCCGAACTATAGAGTTTGATACTGGAGCCCTCCGCCATTCATTCATTCCCGAACTCCTCAAGTTCATTCATTCATTCATTCCCGAACTCTTGAGTTTGATACTGGAACCCTGTGGAAAAAAAGAAGCCAAAGATGTCAAATCTGTCAAATAAATCTAACAGAAAAAACAAGTCAAACTGATCATCCATCCATTCATTCATTCATTAATTCATTCATTCATTCCCGAACTCTCGAGTTTCATTCATTTATACATTCATTCCCGAACTCTCGAGTTTGAGACAGGAGCCATGTGGAAAAAACAAGCCAAAGATGTCAAGTCTATCAAATAAATCTAACAGAAAAAACAACCCACACTAATCATTCATTCATTCATTCATTTCATTCATTCATTCATTCCCGAACTATCGAGTTTGATACTGGAGCCCTCCGCCATTCATTCATTCCCGAACTCCTCAAGTTCATTCATTCATTCATTCCCAAACTCTAGAGTTTGATACTAGACCCCTGTGGAAAAAACAAGCCAAAGATGTCAAGTCTGTCAAATAAATCTAACAGAAAAAACAAGTCAAACTGATCATCCATCCATTCATTCATTCATTAATTCATTCATTCATTCCCGAACTCTCGAGTTTGATACAGGAGCCATGTGGAAAAAACAAGCCAAAGACGTCAAGTCTGTCAAATAAATCTAACAGAAAAAACAACGCACACTGATCATTCATTCATTCATTCATTCACTCATTCATTCATGCATTTCATTCATTCATTCATTCCCGAACTATCGAGTTTGATACTGGAGCCCTCCGCCATTCATTCATTCCCGAACTCCTCAAGTTCATTCATTCATTCATTCCCAAACTCTAGAGTTTGATACTAGACCCCTGTGGAAAAAACAAGCCAAAGATGTCAAGTCTGTCAAATAAATCTAACAGAAAAAACAACGCACACTGATCATTCATTCATTCATTCATTCACTCATTCATTCATTCATTTCATTCATTCATTCATTCCCGAACTATCGAGTTTGATACTGGAGCCCTCCGCCATTCATTCATTCCCGAACTCCTCAAGTTCATTCATTCATTCATTCCCAAACTCTAGAGTTTGATACTAGAACCCTGTGGAAAAAACAAGCCAAAGATGTCAATTCTGTCAAATAAATCTAACAGAAAAAATAAGTCAAACTGATCATCCATCCATTCATTCATTCATTCATTCATTCATTCCCGAACTCTCGAGTTTCATTCATTTATTCATTCATTCCCAAACTCTCGAGTTTGATACTGGAGCCCTGTGGAAAAAACAAGCCAAAGATGTCAAGTCTGTCAAATAAATCCAACAGAAAAAGCAAGCCAAACTGATCATTCATTCATTCATTCATCCATTCATTCCCGAACTCTCGAGTTTGATACTGAAGCCATCAGCCATTCATTCATTCCAAAACTCCTCGAGTTCATTCATTCATTCATTCATTTACTCATTCCCGAACTCTCGAGTTTGATACTGGAGCCCTGCGGAAAAAAGAAGCCACGGATGTTAAGTCTGTCAAATAAATCTAACAGATAGAATTCATTCATTCTCGAACTCCTCTTGTTCATTCATTCATTCATTCCCGAACGCTCGAGTTTGATACTGGAGCCCAGTAGAAAAAACAAGCCAAAGATGTCAAGTCTGTCAAATACATGTAACAGAAAAAACAAGTTGAACTGATCGTTCATTCATTCATTAATTTATTCATCCATTCATTCATTCCCGAACTCTTGAGTTTGGTACTAGAGCCCTCTACCATTCATACATTCCTGAACTCCTCGAGTTCATTCATTCATTTATTCATTCCCGAACTCTCGAGTTTGATACTAGAGACCTGTGGAAAAAACAAGCCAAAGATGTCAAGTTTGTCAAATAAATCTAACAAAAAAAAACGAACCAAACTGATCATTCATTCATTCATTCATTCATTTCATTCATTCATTCCCGAACTATTGAGATTGATACTGGAGCCCTCTGCCCTTCATTCATTCCCGAACTCCTCGAGTTCATTCATTCATTCATTCATTCCCGAACTCTCGAGTTTGATACTGGAACCCTATGGAAAAAAATAAGCCAAAGATGTCAAATCTGTCAAATAAATCTAACAAAAAAAACAAGTCAAACTGATCATCCATCCATTCATTCATTCATTCCCGAACTCTTGAGTTTCATTCATTTATTCATTCATTCCCGAACTCTCGAGTTTGATACTGGAGCCCTGTGGAAAAAACAAGCCAAAGATGTCAAGTCTATCAAATAAATCCAACAGAAAAAACAAGCCAAACTGATCATTCTTTCATTCATTCATTTCATTCATTCATTCCCGAACTCTCAAGTTTGATACTGGAGCCCTCTGCCATTCATTCATTCCCGAACTCTCGAGTCTGACACTGGAGCCCTGTGGAAAAAACAAGCCAAAGATGTCAAGTCTGTCAAATAAATCAAACAGGGAAAGCTAGCTAAACTGATCATTCATTCATTCATTCTATGGAAAAAACAAGCAAAAGATATCAAGTCTGTCAAATAAATCAAACAGGAAAAACAAGCCAAACTAATCATTCATTCATTCATTCATTCATTCCCGAACTCTCGAGTTTGATACTGGAGCCCTGTGGAAAAAACAAGCCAAAGATGTCAAGTCTGTCAAATAAATCTAACAGAAAAAACAAGCCAAACTGATCATCCATTCATTTATTCATTCATTCATTCATTCATTCCTGAACTCTCGAGTTTCATTCATTCATTCATTCATTTCCAAACTCTCGAGTTTGATACTGGAGCCCTGTGGAAAGAACAAGCCAAAGATGTCAAGTCTTTCAAATAAATCTAACAGAAAAAACAAGCCAAACTGATCATTCATTCATTCATTCATTCATTCCCAAACACTCGAGTTTGATACTAGAGCCCTATGCTATTCATTCATTCCCGAACTCCTCGAGTTCATTCATTCATTCATTCGTCATGTATTCTCTGTCAGTTGATACAAGCGAATTGTATATTACCCACTTGGGATTAACTCTGGAACACAGAAAAAGAATCGACCCAGATCAATCATTTCTTCACAAAACCAAGAAATAACTAAAAGGTTGTAACTTCTCCGAGAAATAAATTCTCTCTGTACTAACTTGAACAACACGGATGAAGGGTGAATGTAGACTTCTTGCCTCTTATGGTCTTGTACTTCCCACTGTGGCTGTATGCCTTTAGAGAAGTTGATGGGCATAAATTATTCAGCGCGTTAGCTAAAGAAAAAGGGAGAAAAGGAAAGGAAAGAAGATGATAAAAGTCGATGCTTAAAAAATAAAAAAATAAAAATCAACGGTTAGATCATGTTTACGCAACTACAGATTATGACAGAATCACTCACTTCTAAATGACACGCATTTGCAAAAAACCCAGCAGTAATTGCCTTTCTCACTGCCTGCAAGAGTTAATGAGTAGCTAAACAGTGAGCATTTCATTTGCTGTAAGATGTAGCAAATGATAAATACGCAACACGGGTCATGATATGAACTATTAGAGAGAGATATATATATATATACAAAATATGAACATCCTACAGGAAAATTGTATCAGAGAATAATCAGCATTATCTGTTTTGCAGTAATATGTTTAGCTAAGATTAATTATCTTATAAACAGAGCACCTGCACAGCTACTTAAACTGGGCCGTCATGTCCCCTTGACCTAGTTTATGTAAATAGTGAATGTGCGGTAAAACTTACCAGCATATCTCCTTCACAGGATTTTAAGGAATTGCCCATTCTCTGTGATGTTCTTCTGAGTTGATCTCAAATTTCAATTACTTTTTTCTGCAAGGCGCAAGCCAATCAAAGATGACAAAGTTAAAGAAGGGGGAGCAAGAGGATGGAAAGGAAGAAAATATACACACAAACTCCAATAAAATGCACAAGATGCAAGCATCTTAAAAGAAGCTTACAGACCAACTTTTCATTTTTCATGACAGAATGAAGAAAGAGCAGAATGAAAACGTGTTAAAGATTCCCAAGATAGAAGCGCACCATGGCATGATAGTTCACAAAGTTCTTATGACACCACTGTGAAGATTTACCAGACTGGAAAAATCCTTTATAAACATTCAAGAAGGTCACATGGTCCCCCTGCTCGCCATAACAAAAAAGTTTAAAAGTCAACCAAACTGATGCAGAAGCATTTCAATAGTTGTTTATGTCCTATAGTCATTTGGCATTTTGAATATAGTTGTGTCGTTTTGGTGTATTTATATTTGTTGCTATGTGGCTGTAATGTCATTTTGACTTATTAGATGTACTAAACTACATGTCGCTTTGGGTGTTTGGTTATTTTCCCTAATGCCTTAAAAGGCGAGGTCTGTAGGAAGATTAGCAGTTTTTGATCATCTGAGTAGAAATTAGAGAGATCTTTCTCTTGTTCCTTTGTTTTAGGTGGATTTGGAACCTCAATTCCTTGCTCCGTCCGGGTTAGGCCGATAAAATCTATCCCCAAAAGGCTTTCTACTTCACAAACTAACAGGTATAAGAACAAGAGTATTACTTATCCACCCTGGAAAAAAAGTAAAAATAATCTGTTAGAATCCTGGTTGAGTCCCACATTGTTAAAGTATGGGATTAGCATGTGGGTTTATAACAACTTAGGCACCCTCTCCCTACAAGCTAGCTTTTGGGGATGAGTTCTACCCAAGGGTTATAACAATTGATAACAGAGCATGCCCCTCCTCAGGCCCATGTTGCGGAAGGGGCGACCTGGAAAGGCCAGAGTGGGCCATCCAAAGTGGGCCGCCGTGGACGTCGGTGTCGGAAGCGTGGTGGTATGTTAGGATCTTGGTTGAGTCCCACATTGCTAAAATATGGGCTTAGCATGTGGGTTTATAACCACTTAGGCACCCTCTCCCTACAAGCTAGCTTTTGGGGATGAGTTCTACCCAAGGGTTATAACGCAATCATATGGAAAAAAAAAAAAATAGTACCTCAGCAGCAGCAAATCTCAACTTTGCCTCATCCAGTTCCTTTTGAGCTCCCTTTCCAGAAACCCAAATAGACTGCAGAATATCACCATACTTGTTAACAGTGTCCAAGGGAACATTACGGTTATATTTTATTTGATGCTCATATATTTGTACCATATTCTACTCGTTTGCTATACTTCTTTTTCCTTGTTCATGTAGCAGGTTTTTTTCCGTTGGAAAATAAACCTAAGAATTAATTGAACAAGGACTTACTTGAATGGAGAGAATGGCAGCGATAGTTATTATCTCCTCTGAGCATCCAAGTTGACTTGAGGACAAGATAATTTTTGAAATCATAGGATCCTAAAAATATTGCAATCAAATACGAGTAAAATTATAGAATCATAATGTAGAACCATAGAGAGATAAAATCAAATTCTTAAGACTTATAGAACAGGGATAACAACACCGACTTGGGGCATAGAAACGGCTTAAAAATATGTAAAGGGAATAAAGTTTAACATACTAATGGAATCTTTGCAACTTGGAATCCAGCCGGAGAAGTAAGTTTGGCATCATCGTCCAAAACTCCAAGTGAATAAAGTATTTCAAGTGCCCGAACCATGGCTTCAGGTGATGGAGATGCTGGCCAATCAAAGCCCAAGATATTATCTATTCCCAAGGCTTTTAACTGAGAAGTGGAAGAGCAAGATCAAAGTCAATATACCATTAGAGTATGATTTTCCAAAAGTGACAATGCATTGTGGAGTAAAAAATGTGTAGTAAGGACACGTTATACTATTTGAAAGAAGGAACTCTAGTCAATTTATAGTCTCTAACAAAACTCCAACTCCTAACTTAAAACAACAATAAAGTCAATTTTGCAGGTAAAGCAATCTTTCATACAACATGTTCACTTGCAAATGATGATTAGCACCATGAAATGAGAAAATACATCTGGGATGTAACTTTTTTAAGAAGCTAGTACTCTTTCAGATATGATAGTTCTGCATACAATCAATCAGTTTCACACCATTACGACATAATGGCATACCTGAATGACGCAGGAAACAAGATTAGATCGTTGGATCACTGGAATCCCCTCTGTGGCCATTTCATTGATAAAATACTCTTCTGCGTATAGCCTTGTTGCACCCACAAACAAATATTTCAAGGTCAAGCCATAATTTCTAGAATATGCTTTGAAAGAGAGAAGCATGGATTTACATGTAAATGTAAATCACCTAACTTGATAAGTATCAGGGTTTTAGGTACAAGTAAATTATATAACTAAAAAATAGATACTAATCAGAAGGTTTTAGTGGGTCAAAAATTCTACATCTAAATATAAAAGGGAAAGTGCATTGGGAATAGC